GGGGCGCTGCGGGCCGGGCATGGCGGGCGCCTCCCTCCCCCACGTCCTGCCTTCCCCGGGCGCCCGGGGCGCCGCCACACCTGCGAGGGCAAGAGCGAAATGAGCTCCCGCAGCTGCCCAGCCCGCCGGCTGCCGCGGCTCCACCCCGCCCGCCCCTACGGAGAAGGCTCCGCGGGGAGACCAAGCAGGGGCGCGCGAAAGCCCGTGGCCTTGGGGGCTAAGAGAGGCCCAGCCGTGGGTGCCCCAGGCCCCAGGTGGACCCCTGCGCCATGCCGACAGAGCTGGGTGGAGCCCTGCCCAGGCCACAGCAAACAAAGCTTTGCTCTGCCTCCCTTATTGATTCTCCAGCAGGGGCCAGCTTGCTCAGACCTGCGAGCGCTGCCAATGCCAAGGGTACTTCCCTCCCCCCGCCCGATCGCCCCGATGACCTCAAAGTCCGCGTCACGGAAAAACTTGAGGTCATCAAACACGCACAGCTTCTCCAGGTCCATCTCAACAGCCTGGAGGGTCCAGTGATTCTAAGGCCTGGTGGATAGCCTCAAACGAACCCTCCACTTGCTTGGGTTTCACGCCTCTTTGCACGCCAGTGCCAATTTTAGTCCTGGGCTGCCGTGAAAGCCATAGTGGCTACAGTTCATTCTTCCGGCTCACTACTTGGAATTTACTGTCTGCCTCCATCTTTTTCTCTTATCAGTCTCCTCTTTGACACCCTGAAATCATATCTCTCCCAGGTATTATCACTGAATCCACCAAAAACCTCTTATCCGTACTCTTCATCTGAACACCCTCTCTTCCTGAACACCCTCCCAACAGTCTGGCTTCAGACCATATTGTACAAAGAGTGGGTACACATTTACTAGAATCTAATGTCCTGGTTTCTGTATTTTGGACAGCTCTCCAAGAGGTACCCCATAGGCAGGTCGGGAGACTGGAAATTTGATTCATTGGCTGAAGTTTTGATATGTTGCTGTGCTGGACAGAGGCAAAGGAACTGATATATAAACTCATTAAAATTCCAGCAGAAATTTCTATCAGATTCTTCAAAAGGAATTACAGGGTTATCCTAAAATTCATATGAAAATAAGGAGATACCAAGAGCCAAGGCATTCCTGAAGAAAAAGAATGAGAAAGGGGACTTACGCTCATAGCCATCAAGACTTATAATAAAACTTTGAGAACTAAACCAGTATGGTATTGATGCTAAGACAGACAAATATAACAAGGGGACAATGAAGTAAGCCCAGAAACAGACCCATACGTATTGTAGCACTTAATCTATAACAGATGTCGAATTACATATTCAATAAATGTTGCTGGAACAATTAGTTATCCATGTGCAAAAAGGTGAAGCTGGATCCCTACCTTATACCATACACCAAAATCAATTACAGATTGATTAAAGCTGTAATTGGGACAAGCAAAGTTTAATACTTTTACAATATCTTTATAACCTTGGGATTGCAGAGGACTTTATAACAAGATACCAAAAATACAAACCACCAAAAAAAGACTAAAAATAAATAAATTCTATATTTCAACATTAAAAACTCCTGTGCATCAAGACACCTTAAAAATTTAAATAGACAAGACATAAAATGGGAGAAGATATTTGTTATGAATATAACTGACAAAGTATTACTATCCACAATATATTAAAATGTCTACAAATTATTTAAAGACAAATACCCACTAGAAACGTGGTCAAGAGGTTTGCTCAAACTTTCCAGTAAGCAAAGAAATTCAGCTTAAAACCTCCCTATAATAGATATGAGATTAACAAAAATTAATTGATTGGATAATTCTAAGTACTGGTGAGGTTGTTAAACTACAGTTCTCAAACTGTTTGTAGCAACCACTTTGAAGAATTATATGGCAGTATCTAGTAAAGTTGAAGAAGTATCTGGAGTTCTGGTTCTGGCAACCAGACATTCTAACATAGTTCTCCTACTACAAATATTTACAATTTAGATTAAATTTTTAAAATGAAATTCATAAATTTCAACTAAAAGGGGACAGCCTTATGTATGGAAACAACAAGGACTCAAAAGAGCCATAAACAACTTGAAGACACATAATGACATAGAAAGCCCAAACCACCATTAAATAAATAACCATTTAAGAAATTAAATAAGTACTTGAGTTAAAAAAATCTTGCTACCGGGGCCTCTTTTTCAAGGCGCCTCGGAGGCGTTCGGCTACTTCGAGATGAAGCTGAATATCTCCTTCCCAGCCATTGGCTGCCAGAAACTCATCGAAGTGGACGATGAACGCAAACTTCGTACTTTTTATGAGCAGCATATGGCCACAGAGGTTGCTGCTGACGCTCTGGGTGGAGAATGGAAGGGTTATGTGGTCTGAATCAGTGGTGGGAACGACAAACAAGGTTTCCTCGTGCAGCAGGGTGTCCTGACCCATGGCTGTGTCTGCCTGCTACTGAGTAAGGGGCATTTCTGTTATAGACCAAGAAGAACTACAGAAAGGAAGCTCAAATCTGTTCCAGGTTGCATTGTGGATGCCAATCTGAGCGTTCTCAACTTGGTTATTGTATAAAAAAAAAAAAAGGAGGGCCGGCCGGTGGCTCATCCGGTAGAGTGCAGCGCTTGGGAGCGCAGCGGCATTCCTGCGGAGGGCTCGGATCCCATATAGAGACTGGTGCGGGTGCGACACCGAGGGTTGCGATCCCGTTACCAGTCACGAAAAATGACAAAAAGGAAAAAAAAAAAAAAGGAGAGAAGGATATTCCTGGACTGACTGATACCACGGGGCCTCATCGCCTGGGGCCAAAAGAGCTAGCAGAATCCACGAACTTTTCAATCTCTCTAAAGAAGATGATGTCCCCCAATATGTTGTAAGAAAGCCCTTAAACAAAGAAGGTAAGAAACTTAGGGTCAAAGCACTCAAGATTCAGCGTCTTCTTACTCCACGTGTCCTACAACACAAACGCAGGCGTATTGCTCTGAAGAAACAGAGCACTAAAAAAAATAAGGAAGAGGCCGTACAATATGCTAAACTTTTGGCCAACAGAATGAAGTAGGCCAAGCAAAAACGCCAGGAACAGATGCCAAGAGACGTAGGCTGTCCTCTCTGAGAGCTTCTACTGCTAAGTCTGAGTCCAGTCAAAAATAAGATTTTTAAAGAGTACCAAATAGATGAGACCAGACCTCAAAAAAAAAAAAAAAAAAAAAAAAAAATCTTGCTACCAAAAAAAAAAAAAATCAGTGCCAGAAGATTTTGTTGGAAGATTCTATAAACGTTTCAAGGAACAGAACAGTCCAATCTTATGTAAACTCCTTCAGAGAACAGAAGTAGCAGGAAAAATCCCTATTCATTCCACAGTATAACCATACACCAAATCCCTATATGTCATGGTATAACAAAACTAGTCGTGGGAGGCATAAGGAAGAAAAATGACAAACTAATCTCACTCATGAACATTGTTATGGTCTAAATGTTTGTGGACCCCCTCCTCCAAATTCATATATTGAAGTCCTAACCCCCAGGACCATGGTATAAGGAGGTGGGACCTTCTGGGAGATGATTAGGTCATAAAGGTAGTACTCTCATGAATAGCATCAGTACCTTTATAGAATAGGCCCAAGAGAGCTCGTTTGCCCCTTTCTACCATGCCACTGGATCTGCCAGCACCTTCATCTTGAACTTCCCAGACTCCAGAAGTGTGAGAAATAAATTTCTGTTGTTTATCAACTACCCAGTCTATGGTATTTTGTTAGAGCAGCCCCCATGGATATGACAAACATGGATACAAGAGTTCTAAAATATGGGGCCGGCCCGGTGGCGCACTGCTACAGTGCGCCGCTTGGGAGCGCGGTGGCGCCCATGGTATAAGGAGGTGGGACCTTCTGGGAGATGATTAGGTCATAAAGGTAGTACTCTCATGAATAGCATCAGTACCTTTATAGAATAGGCCCAAGAGAGCTCGTTTGCCCCTTTCTACCATGCCACTGGATCTGCCAGCACCTTCATCTTGAACTTCCCAGACTCCAGAAGTGTGAGAAATAAATTTCTGTTGTTTATCAACTACCCAGTCTATGGTATTTTGTTAGAGCAGCCCCCATGGATATGACAAACATGGATACAAGAGTTCTAAAATATGGGGCCGGCCCGGTGGCGCACTGCTACAGTGTGCCGCTTGGGAGCGCGGTGGCGCTCCCGCCGAGGGTTCCGATCCCACATACAGACTGGTTCCCGCTCACTGGCTGAGCAAGGTGTGGGGGCAACACCGAGGGTTGCGATCCCGTTGCCGGTCCCAGTCCAGTACGGGCGCGACACTGAGAGTTGCGATCCGTTGCTGGACACGAAAAAAAAAAAAAAAGAATTCTAAAATATTATGGAGCTGGGCCGACTCCGTGGCTCACTCAGGTGAGTGCGGCACTGGTAACTACAAGGTCGCGGGTTTGGATCCTATATAGGGTTGGCTGGTGCGCTCACTGGCTGAGTGTGG